GGGGGGGGGGGAGTATCTAAAATTTTTTATATTAATTACATCTTTAAATACAATTTTGCTACTCCGTTTCATAAATAAGATGTTTTAATGATCCTTCAACAACAGGAAGTGTGACATAAAGAACAAGACCTACAACGGATGTGCTCCGATCCCAACGCCAATTCCGGTTATATGTACCTCGCCGCAACCTGTACAAGTACAGGTAGGCAGCTCACCACAACCTGTACAAATTCAGGTATGTACCTTGCCGTAACCTGCATAAATCCGGAAATGTACTTTGCCGCAAATTTTCAAATTTACTGAACCGCGCACAAGAAAAAAAATAGTTTGAATTAGTGTCAGACGTTGCCTCTTTTTTAACCCCCCCCCCCCATAGACAATTCTTGAAAATATATACCTCTGCGGCATCAGCATTCAGCAAATCAAAATCTGACAACTGTGTTCTATGGTTTAGGTGAAGATATCCGAGTCCCAGCCCCAGCCTGTGCAGGTTAACATAATTCACAACCAGCCAACCAACCTCGTCAACAACCTGGCCAACAACCTGCCAACTAACCTGGCCAACAACGACCGGAACTCATTTAAATCCTTTAAAACAGATCTTGACTATTCTTCGTAACATAACAATAAGTTAAGGTTTTTATTACTATCAGTACTTTACTTGATTTAAGTTTTTAAAGCCGTAACAAAAACTCAGATATCTCGTTTTTCTCTTTTTTTCTGATGGAAACCCCCAGAAATATCCATGAATACCTGGATTTTATATGAGTATGATCAGGATGAACAATGAGAGAATGAACTAGAATCATCTAGCAGAGGTTGACGGCAGTATAATGGTCTATGTCTAAATTACCCAGAATTACGAAATAATGACAGTAAACCTGAAACTAAAAACAGTGAGAGTTTTAAAGAAAGGAAGTCCTTGAAAGACCTTGAAATAGGAAATCAAAGAATTAGAGAAAGGACTAGAAAGGTATTCCTGTATCAGTATAGTTATGAATGGAATTAGATATTTAGTCATTCAGCACGATTTTGTTAAAAGAAAATTAATGGGAACTAAACATTTTAAATTAATTGTAAATAGATTGTATAGATTTTATGTAAATTATGAATGAATATTGATGATGTGGGGGGAAACCATAATCTGAAAAAGTGCAAATTATAGTAGTTATCCATACTCATTAATATTATAAAATCAGGATAATTTCTGATTATTAGAAATATATTTTAGAAATTTATAAATTATCAAAAACAATTATGCATCTAACATTTAAAGACAAATATTTCATTGGATTATGATATTCTTCTAAAATAGTGATGCCATTTTATTGACTTAGTTCAAAGCTAAATCCAGTTTTTAAATCAAGATCTTCGTATTTTTGGAAAAACTATTGAGATGAAAAAATACTTTTAAATATTCGAAGATTAAAAGTTCAGCTCTTAGCTGTTATTACCGTCCTAGTAGTAATCTTAGTGTACGTAGTGTACTAAAAGTTTTAGCTGATTTAATTGTACAATGTAAGTACACTCATATATTCATAATTTGTTAGTAAATGTTTACGTTCTTGTTTACCATGGTTTCTTTTCATAGGCTCCACGATACTGTTAAACACATTGTAAGACAATTATTGAAATTGTTAAATTAAAAGGAATTTGTAATTTTGTTATCGTATATTCATTTCTCATACATGGCTCGCTATAATTAGATTTAACTTTTTAACATTTGTCTTTATGTTTCGCCTAATTTTCTCCTTAAATAACCAAATGATGTGTTTTTCTTTTTCGCCCTTTTCTCTCTCATAATTAGTCGGTTTTTTTTGGAATCTGGCTGATTTTCATTTTTTCTCGCCCATAATTAGTGGTTTTTCTTCTGATCTAGCTGATTTTCATTTTTCTTTCCCAAAATTAGTCGTTTTTCTCATCTAGCTGATTTACTTTTCTCTCTCCTATAACTAGTTGTTTTTCCTCGGATCTAGCTGATTTTCATTTTTCTCACCCAAAATTAGCCGTTTTTCTCATCTAGCTGATTTTCATTTTTCTCCCCCATAATTAGGCGTTTTTCTTCTTATCTAGCTGATTTTCATTTTTCTCCCCCATAATTAGCCGCTTTTCCTCTTATCTAGCTGATTTTCATTTTTCTCCCACATAATTAGCCTTTTTTCCTCTTATCAAGCTGATTTTCATTTTTCTCCCCCATAATTAGCCGTTTTTTCTCTTATCTAGCTGATTTTCATTTTTCTCCCCCATAATTAGCCGTTTTCCTCTTATCTAGCTGATTTATAATTAGCCGTTTTTCCTCTTATCTAGCTGATTTTCATTTTTCTCCCCCATAATTAGCCGTTTTCCTCTTATCTAGCTGATTTTCATTTTACCCTCCCATAATTAGCCGTTTTTCCTCTTTTCTAGCTGATTTTCATTTTTCTCCCCCATAATTAGCTGTTTTCCTCTTATCTAGCTGATTTTCATTTTTCTTCCCCATAATTAGCCGTTTTACTCGGATCTGGCTGATTTTCATTTTTCTCCCCCATAATTAGCCGTTTTTTCTCTTATCTAGCTGATTTTCATTTTTCTCCCCCATAATTAGCCGTTTTGCTGATTTTCATTTTTCTCCCCCATAATTAGCCGTTTTTTCTCTTATCTAGCTGATTTTCATTTTTCTCCCCCATAATTAGCCGTTTTTTCTCTTATCTAGCTGATTTTCATTTTTCTCCCCCATAATTAGCCGTTTTACTCGGATCTGGCTGATTTAAATTTTTTCTCTCCCATAATTAGTCCTTTTTTCCTCGGATCTAGCTGATTTCCTTTTTTCTCCCAAAATATGTCTTTTTTCTCGTATCTAGCTGATTTTCCTTTTTTTCTCTCTCCTGACTGTTATATTTCTGTTTTCCTTCCTTCAGTTTATTCAGTAGTCTTTTTTATTTACTCTGGTGTGCTCCCCCCCCCCCCCCCTTCCCTCCCCCTGATGTAAAGTATAAGGATTCTAATTGATAAAAATTATCCTAATTTCAGCGTTGAATTTTTCTAAATTGTTATTTGTTTCGAGCTTTAATAATGAGCACATAACAAAGTTATTTCTTTCAATGCAGTATTCAAGTCGAGACAAGTTAAATACCTTTTTTTAACCATTTTCTGTACTATTTTATTGTTCCGTTAATCTAATAAGTTGTAATTTTTTATCTATTTTAACGTTGCAAGGGATATCAGATTATATTCACATTTGTTTCTGTACATATTGTAGTACAACACCAACACTTCATGTGAATTCATGTTTTACTTTAAATTATCTGTGTACACTGTACAGCCGGTCATGTACTTGTGCAGAACACTTACAGTACATTTTACTATTTGTACCAGATAATAATCATTTATAAAAATCCTAGTGTAAATATTTAACCTCAAACTTTTCGTTGATATTAATAATAAAAATTGAACTTATGAATTTGAAATATCAAGTTTGGGGTCTCAATAAATGTCAATTAGGGTTTCCACGAAACGGTCAATTCTCTTGCGCAACAGTTTCGTGGTTTTGCACGAAATTCCGCATCATTTTCGTATCAATACGATACCAGTTTTGCACGAAATTGCGCATTCTTTCGAAATAAATAATTTTTTTGTGCGAAATTTCGCATGAATACGAAATTTAATTCAGAATATTTCATGATATTGCGCATGAATATTTTTGCGAAGCCCATGAAAACGAAAAATAAAAAGAGCAGTATTGTGCATGAAAACGAAATTAAGTAATATTTGTTGCATGCCATATAGTGCATAAATATGAAAGATTTCAATATTTGGACAGTATGGTGTGAATTAGTTTCAGTAAAAAACAACTTTCATCTAACCCGGCTCGTCTCAAAGTTCAGACTGGACAGATGATTAGTGAATGTGATTATGATGAATTAATTTGTGACTAAGTTACTACTTGAGATTGATTGCTGGTAAACGGTGTAATAGTCGGTACGGTCCTGTGACCTAAAACCTGAGCAATGGAGCTTATTCGGTCAGCATGTGTGAGCGCCGAGCAGGCTGGAGTATATTTGACTCTGATTGGTTCTATTTTGAATTTATTCATCATTTCCTGGAATTGTTTCTCGAAATTTAACGAAATGGCTCGAAATAACGAAATAGCAGGAATTAATGACGTACGCAAATACAAGATTTTCTTCAGAATTTGTGGAAATAGCTTTTGCGCAAAAACATCGAAATTTCGTGCAATTTTTACTCGAAACGAAAGCACTAAGCAAATCTTCCCCCCCCCCCATAAGCCGCCTATGTCCTTAAAAATTAATTAATAGCTGGCCAATTTCTTATTCATTTAACCATAGGTACAACTATAGGTCGTATCTATCTATCTACACTGCTCTGGTAAGGCCTAACCATAGTGTGACTATGGTTCTACCTATGGTAGAGCGTCTAAGAAATTGGCCAAGCGTCATTGGTGTAGTAGAACTACTGTACTGTACTGTACTGTACTCATTGAATATTATATGAAATACAGTATTCTACTGTAGAACTACTGTACTGTACTGTACTCATTGTATATTATATGAAATACAGTATTCTACTGTAGAACTACTGTCAAGTGAATAAGACAAGCTACTGTAGAATATTGTATTTTATATAATATACAACGAGTTAATATATTAAGGTGGATTGTTCTAGAATCAGGCTGCAGTACATATCGATACAATGAAGACGACTTTCGATTTTGATTTTTATCAAGCTTTGAAAGAGCATCAATACACAGAAACATGAAAAAAGAAAAGTTGTCAATCAAAAAAGCTTCTCTTTTATTACGTGTAAACTTGCTATTCGGAAAAAGCTTCTAAACAATCAAAACTTAAAAAAGTCATCTTCATTCTATTGGTATAATCGCCTACCACCGTACAAAAACTAGGGAAAACGTACAGGGTGTCCCAAAAAACATGGGAATTCAGTGACGAATTCGATATCGTCTTTGTTATGAATTAGCATTGTAATACCTAATTTCAACAGCCATAAAATTATTATGTCTGCTAGAGTTTATTTTATGAAAAGGGTAAAAGACTGTAAATATGTGTCTATAATGTCTCCACAAGATGAACAGTGAAGATGGACAAGTTTACTCCGTTTGCATACTGCAATTTTCTTGTTTTACTAAGTAAAACCGTATGCAGTCAAAACATAAACAAACAAATGTGAACATAGCAGACGAAACTCTTACAGATTACAGCTTTCTCAATATGTATCACTAAACTAAACCAAAGAATTATCTGAAAAGACGATATCGAATTCGTCACTGAATTCCCATGTTTTTGGGACACCCTGTACTTATCCGTTTTTGACCATCAGGAAAACTTTACGTTTATTTGATCCTCCATTTACTGATAGAAAATGTGTAAACATCAATTGCGGGTAAAAGGGACACACAGATTTATGCACCAGAAACACGGAAGAAAATTAATAAAATGTTTACATAATATTAGTATCTATGTATGTATTTGGCGTGTTTGTAAGTATCCAATAAACGGCTGAACTGAACCGATCTGGCCCGATTTTTTGTGGTAACTCACATGACTTATAGTAAGGAATTATGGCTTGAAGATTAAAATGGGGGAAAGGTGGACCCCCTGGAAAATTGGGGGGACGTCTCCCCCCCTCCCGGAAAAAATTGATGCACAACACAACTAAAGAGAGCAGGATTTTTGAAAAATATTCCGTCCTCTGAAAAGTCAGTTTTTTTTTGCCTGTAATTTGTTCAATTTTCTACGATTTCAACGTCTTTGAATTTAGTTTTTAAGACAGATTTTATTTTGCCATTGTGATAAATTTTGATAAATAAATTCGCGTGCACTAGTTCGAGTTCATATTTACTAAACCATGATGCGCTTTAATTTTATTTGAAGGTTTGGGGAAATATTTTATTCTACTTCAGCTATAATACAGAGACCTTTAAGAAGCTTATATGCTGAAAGGGTTTGAAAATTTTTATAAAATTATTCCTAATTTCTGTTTTTAAACGAGGGAGGGGTGGCTGCTCTCAGAGTTTTAGAGTGCCCCCAGGATTTTGGAGTTGCTCCCAGGGTTTTGGAGAAAACTGTGAAAATTTATCCGACCTTTTATGAAAAGTCCTTTTAAAAATGTACTTTTAAACCGCAAATTGAAAAAAGGGCTCTGCCACCCCTTTTTTACTGTCTTTGTTCAGATATTTGCAGGGGGAAAAAATTGCAAATTTCAGTCCAAGAAGCCTGTTGCGATCAAAAGTTTTGATTAGCCAAACTGACGACTTTTGATTCAGCTTGTACATTAAACATTATCGATAAATGTAAAATAAAATCTTTTTTTAGCTAAATACATAAAGGGTTCATTTGAGCTGGTCTAAAAAATCTCAACATCTTTATATCCAATTTTTTTTTTCGGAAAAAATCAAAAAGCCTTTAATTGAATGTTGCTATTAAAAATGTGGTCTTTACTCAACAGTTATAAATAAAAATTGTTCTATGTCAAATTTAAGGCCTTACATATGGCGTGTACTAAAGCAAAATCATCATCAAAACCCTGTGAGCACTCCAAAACCCTGGGAGCACTCCAAAGTCCTGGGAGCACTCCAAAACCCGGGGAGCACTCCAAAACCCTGGGAGCACTCCAAAATCCTGAGAACACTCCAAAACCCTGGGAGCAAGACCCATACCCTGCGAGCAATGCCAAAACCCTGGGAGCACTCCAAAATCCTGAGAGCACTCCAAAACCCTGGGAGCAAGACCCATACCCTGCGAGCAATGCCAAAACCCTCGGGAGCACTCCAAAATCCTGAGAGCACTCCTAATTCCTGGGAGCAATACCGAAACCCTGGGACCAATGCCAAAACCCTGAGAGCAATTATGAAATCGAAAACCATAAGTTCAGTTTCTCTGTTGATGGTTGAGAGGAGTATTGGAATGGGTTCCCGTGATATTTTCTTCAATCTTGAAAAAGTGGTTTTTCCAGTTGAAGACACAGAGTTCGATAGAGAACCAGTCCTAGATTTATCTAGTCCTAAATTGATCTAGTCCTAGATCTATCTAGTACTAGATCTATTTGACTAGTCCTAAATTTATCTATTCTTAAATGTATCCAGTCCTAGATTTATCTAGTCCTAGATTTATCTAGTCCTAGATCTTTCTAGTCCTAGATTTATCTAGTCCTAGATCTTTCTAGTCCTAGATCTATCTAGTCCTAGATCTATTTCTAGTCCTAGATCTTTCTAGTCCTAGATCTATCTAGTCCTAGATCTATCTAGTCCTAGATCTATCTATCTAGTCCTAGATCTATCTAGTCCTAGATCTATCTAGTCCTAGATCTATCTAGTACTAGATTTATCTAGTCCTAGATCTATCTAGTACTAGATTAATCTAGTCCTAAATGTATCTAGCCCTAGATCTATCTAGTACTAGATTTATCTAGTCCTAGATTTATCTAGTCCTAGATGTGTCCAGTTCTAGATCTAACTAGTCATAGATGTATTTAGTTCTAGATTTATCTACTCCTTAATGTATCTAGATCTATTTGACTAGTCCTAAATTTATCTACTCCTAAATGTATCAAGTCCTAGACTTATTTAGTCCTAGATCTTTCTAGTCCTAGATCTATCTAGTCCTAGATCTATCTAGTCCTAGATCTATCTAGTCCTAGATCTAGATATATCTAGTCCTAGATCTATCTAGTCCTAGATCTATCTAGTCCTAGATCTATCTGGTCCTAGATCTATCCCTAGATTTATCTAGTCCTAGATTTATCTAGCCCTAGATCTATCTAGTCCTAGATTTATCTAGTCTTAGATGTGTCCAGTCCTAGATCTATTTAGTTCTAGATTTATCTAGTCCTAGATCTATTTAGTCCTAGATTTATCTACTCCTAAATGTATCTAGTCTTAGATTTATCTAGTCCTAGATTTATTTTATTTCTATCTTCATACACATATATATTTGATATTCAAATCTTTCAATATTCTATTATCTTATAAATCTATAATTATCTACATATATCTAAATCTACATTAGTTGGATGCACGTTTTTACTTTATATTGTTATTTCAACCTGCAGAAATGTTTTCTTTAGTTATTAGTAAGCTAAAACATTATAAGAATTTGCTGATTTTTATGTTTTCATCTGTGAATTTAAAAATTTTTAAAAGCTAAAAATAGTTGAGCCCAAGCATTTTGGTTTTAAATTTTTTTGGGTCATGTGAGACATTGAGGTCCATCAAAAATATTTCTAACTGTTTTTGGAACCAAACATATCTACAGATCGTTATGAGTAAACAGGTTTAGTCTTGTTATCTCTATGGTTAAATATATTCCTGGTTCTAGAGTCACATGATCTTATGATACAGGAGAACATACAGAATATTGGTCAGTTTATAATATCCTTTCATTTAAAGTTATCACATTTATTTCTTATTTTTATTTCAAAATAGATGTTCAGGGACTTAACAATCCATTTGATAATTTCAGGAGAACTTAAAGGGTGTGTTCGCAAAGAGTGAAAGGGGGGTGCAGGCTGAATCCGAAAGTCTGACCTCCCTTTCATTTTCGCGAACACTCTCTTAATATACGGTGGTAGGCGATTTTATCAATATAATGAAGACGACTTTCGATTTCAATTTAGATTGTCCATTTTGGAGGGATGATTTTGAGAATCTGTTTTATAAAAAAAATTTATGAACGACAATGAAAGATGTAACAAATTTCTCTAGTAAACTAACTGAACGACATATTCCTCATTGGAAATTTGTCAATAATTCAGTGTTTCTTTTTCATCGTTATGTTGATAATCTTCTTCTTCAGAAATTTGTTCGCAGATATCTTTAAATTCTTCAAATGTCGTCTTTTCATTAAAAATTTTAGGAAATCTACAGGAAGTGGTTTTGAACATTAGAAACATTACAGAAACCAATAACTGAATAATATTACTTATTTTCGATGACAAGAGCTCATTTTTATTTTCTCAACCTGTTCCTAAACAACTAATTCGTTTACTATAGATTTTTTTGTTACATTTTTTATGGTCGTCATTGAATAATTTAAATAAAACCGATTCTCAAAATCATCCCTCCAAACTGGACAATCTATGAGGATTTTAAAGACTGAATTTGAGCTCTACCTGAACAAATATGCGCCTTAAAAACGTCCAATAGGTCTTTAACGAATCCTAAAAAAATTCTCATTAAATTATGGCCCTTAAGAAAATTTCAGTTTTGTTCTTCAGCTTACCAGTTTCAAAATGTCTCGAAGAGTTCTCAACTTGCTATTGTTCCAAGAAAGAAGGTAGATATGTAATTTTTAGAATTGAAAAGAATTATATATTTATTTTATTTATTTTTACGTTTTATTTATTATTCAGTAAAATAGTTATGTCAAGTTTTTATAAAGCTTTCATACAGGCGCGGAGTGGAGGGGGGGGGGCCGGTACCCCTGTGCCCCCTTAGACATGCACCCCCCTAGGCCCCCCCAGAGCCAGAGGCAGGCTCTGATTTATTAAACAGTAAACATATATAATCAGATTTTTTACTTTTCTTATCAATCGACAATGTCACAAGTTGTCCATTTTATGATTATTTCTCAAATTCTTTCTTGTACCTTGGCATTCTTTCTTGTACATTGGTAATTATGGTCAGATGACTAAAAGTCAGCCTTCAGGTAGATTATAGATTTTAAGTTTTATTTTTTCTTAATACCGGTTTTTTAGGGGGGTGCACAACAGTGCACACCCCTAGGCTAAACCTCGACTACGCTCCTGCTTTCATACAGTAGAAGGGTACATAAAATGTAGGGAAAGATAAGCGTTTAATTAAAAGAGAAAAAATTCTTTATTATTGAAATAATACTGTTTACTGAGATTAAATTTATTAAAGTATTCAGGAAATTATGATTTATTTTTTAAGGTCTATATTATTTTGATATATAAATTTGAGGTTTCATGTTGAAAGACTTGATGTTGGAACTAAAGTGTGGCAAAGACATATCTCTTCAAATATACAGGTGAGAGCTGTTTTACACTTTATCTTAGCTAATTCATATCTTATGTAAAATAAATAAGGGAACAAAAAAATATTTCTAAGTTCCTGTGCAATATCACAAATGTCTTGTACAAAAAATTGTTGATGGTAATAATAATCATATAGAAATAATAATGATAATAATAATAATAATAATTGCCTTAAATAATAATAATAATAATAATAACAATATTAATAATGATAAGGATAATAATGATACTAGAATGAGGTTGGAAGGTGGAATCCTGATATCCCCGTAGAGGAAGCAACTACCCCGCCTTCCTCCTGGTTTATCAATTCAGATATTTACACCCTAGAGAAACAGGCTGTATTCGCCAGGTAAAGTAAAAGACGACTTTTAGATTGAAGTTATGACTGAAATAGTCCAATGAAAAAAAAACACGTAAATCGTGGAGTGTACATAAATCCATTTCTGTAAAAAGTTGATGTTCCAGCTATTGGTAGAACTATTGGCTTTATGATAACATCAATAAAACATAAAATTGATTAAATGTCGTTTTCCTTTTAAAGGTGACCTTGATATTATACAATGTATGTAGATAGAGATATAGAATATACTTTACAGATCTTGGATTTGTGTTGGCAGAAGAGATCAAGTTCAAAATACAGGAGATTATTTCTCAGGTAACCACCCCCCCCCCCGACCATTACAAAATTATATTATGCCCCCACCTAGGAAAAGTCATAGTTGCGCCTTTGGGTACAAGTGTGTTAAACTCCTATATCAGGTAGATACATATGTTCTAAACTCCTACATCAGGTAGTTACACGTGTTCTAAACTCCTATATCAGGTAGTTACACGTGTTGTACCATTGGGAATCTGGCGCGTCATCATGTAATGGAGGGTCACTTGTCATAACGTCTACTAAACAGTACTTTTCTAAAAAAAATGTGTTTTTGTTAAAAATCTTGTGTTTTAGGAATGGTAGGTGATGAACCCTATATAGTGGTTAGAGATGGAGATAAATTAAGGGAAAATATTGGAAACTAGAAAAATTTGAAAAATTTCTAAACCCAATATCTCTGCAACCTAATGGTTTAAACCTTTATATTAAAACTTAGACAGCTTGATCTCGCTGATTTCATAGTTTGAAATATCAAAGGTCTTGGAAATCTGGTTGTAAAGATATAAGGATTAACAAATTAGAGTTTGCAGCAAAAATCATTTCCTTAATCATGTGGTATCTGGGAACCACAAATACGTGCAATAAA